CGTGCCGCAGCGCCCGCGCTCTCGCGAGACCGCGCCGCCCGCACGGCGGCGGGCGGGCCGCGCTCTCGCGAGACTGGCGGCCGCTGTCCAGGGTGCTGGAGCCGACAGCGGCGTTCGGCTCCACGCGGGTCATGGAAACCCGCTGCGGGGCAGGGATCGGGCGAGCTGCGCAGCAGCTCAGGAGATCCGCCATGGAGTGCAGCAGGCTGAGCTCCTCATGGGTCTGAAGGGCTCTCTAGGGACAAAGAGATCCTTTACGGAGAGCAATGGGATGAGTTCTGCTCTATGGGGGTCTCCAAGGGGACCATCTATGGGGCAGGGAGTATCCTATATGAAGCTGTGATGTGCTAAGCCCCATATAAGCTGAGGAGACCTTCTATGGAGGACAGAAGGTTGAGCTCTACACAGGATCAAGGAGACTCTCTTATGGAGGGCAGGAAGTTGAGCTCTATATGGCTCAGAGAAACCCTCTATGGAGGCCAAGAGGGGGAAGTTGGGGAGACCATCTACGGGACTTGGGATATCCTGTAGGGAGTAGTGGTATGTTAAGCTCCACATGGGTTGGGGAGACACTCTATGGGGTAGGGGCCTGGTAAGCTCCACATGGGCTGAGGACACCGTCTACGGAAGGCATGAGGTTGAGCTCTATGTGTGTCGGAAAGACCCTTCATGGGTCAAGCGATTTCCTATATGGAAGATAGATGTGTTAATCTCCATATGGTTTGATGTGAGCCTCTACGGGGCAAAGGTTTGGCAGGCTTTGCATGGGTCCAGGAGACCCTCTATGGGACACATGAGGCTCCTTCTGGCACAGGGCCAGTTCCATAGAGAGGCTGGGAACTCTCCAGAGTCAGCTCCAGAGGAGCAGCACACAGCTGGGGTTGCTCTCTGCGTCGCCAGGAACCCATATCCAACCTGAAGCCACGCATCCCGGGGACAGAATAGGCACGGGGTCCACGCAGCCAGTGCTGCTCCAGGCAGTTGTTAAAGGCTTGGGTGCAGGGGGAGTAAATAGACTGATCCAATTTGCCTGCAATGCTCAGCTGGGGCAACAGCCGTTTGCAGGAATAGGTTAGAATTGAACATGACCTTGACAAATTGGGGAAATGGTCTGGAAAAAATAGCATGCTATAAAACAAGGGGAAAGCCCAAAGCTGCACTTAGTGGGAATCACCAAGGGCCAGAGAGAGCTCTGCTTGGGCAGAAATCCTGCAAAAARAAAGTGGGTCAGGACAGTGACCTGGGAGCCAAGAATACCTCAGCATGGGGAAGGGTCATCTTCATCCTGGGGGCAAGGCATGCAAARTGGTCCCTTGCTCCACTCTGCATTGTGAAGCCTTGCTAATGGACTGTGYAAGACATTTCTTTAGGAAGGGCAGGGGGGACTGGAGAAAAGTTTAGGAGCTGCATGATGCTCAAAGCAGCATTGCATATTTGCAGGAGGTCTGTGAGGCGGGGTTCTCACGGCAGAGCAGCCCCTCACTCTAGCCCAGCATCTCAAGAAGGTTCATACAGAGGAGATGCTGCTATTTCCAGTGCTATGGAGTAGGACTTGCTACAAGGACATCTTCTCAGAGGAAACGGATGTGCCCAAAGCCACCATAAGGTGGCTCATAGACTCCATAGGACAGCTAGGTCTGCACTGACTCCTTTCTGGGGTGTTTTGGCCAGCCAGCTTGGCTTGTTCCTTCTTCCAGCCTAGAGCTGCTGCTTGCTTCCGATATCCACATAGGAACTCAAACCCAAGCTCTTCATACCTTAGGTACTCCCCTGCAGCTTCAGGTATCAAAGGAAGGGCCATTTCCACGGGGATCCCCTGAGGAAGGGCAATACCTGTTCTGCCAGAGCACAACAAGGACCAGCAGGTCCCATGTGATACCACAGCCATGGGCWGAGCTTAAATGGGGTTCTAGGGTGGTCCAGTTGAGGTTGCTAAGGATCATTAAGGCATTATGAGTCTGAGGGCTCTCTCTTTGATTTTGCTACTGTGCTGAAGAGCTCAGCTCCTGCCCAGCTCCATAGGGACAGTCATGTCCCCAACTGGTATGGTTGTCAAGGACTCGGCCAGGATAGTAGTGATGTATGTGAAGCAGAGCTGGATGCAACAGCTCCGAGCTTGCCCCAGCCGGGCTGTTTGTCTCTGATTTTGGCATCGCAGCCTCCCATTGAGGCTGGTCCCAGCTCACACGTGGTGCTGCCAGGAGGTCATGCTGGGTGCAGTGTGACAACTGCCTGAGGCTTGAGAAAGGGTGACGTGATGCGGGAGATGCCTGATGGTGCTGCAACTTTCCCTGTATTGGATGCTTGGATTTTCTGAGTGGCTCCCATACCTCCTAGGAAAGGAAACACAAAGAGGGCAGGTGGAGGACAAGGGCTTGAGCTGTGGTGCACTCCTGCTTGCTTGTATGAACACGCTTCCATTTTCGTCCCCATCATCTCTGTCTTTGCACTCCTGCCCCTCATCTTCCCTCCACGGACTCCATTGCTTGGATGCTTCAGGCAGACAGATGGGCAAGACGCAGGGCACCGGGATCCCTGGYCCCTCGTTGCTCCCTGCTCGCTTTTCCATCTGCATCTGCTGCTTCTCTACGGGCTCCGCTGCGCTCCGTGGCTGAGCTTGCCGCGGCTCCTCCTGGGTTTGCAACAACCCAGTCGCTCTCTTGTCCTCCAGCGTGCGAGCTGGCAGGCCAATGAATGGCTTCAGATGGCAATTAGCAGCGGAGCTGCTAATAACAGAGCGCATTTGCATCCAAATCGATGCGGTGGAGAAGGGAGGGAAMTGCAGTTGGGAGCGCATCCCGCCATCCATCCGCGTCCTCGCCGGGCCGTGCGGAACTGCTCTTGCTCTATGGCCACCTCCAAAGCCCTGGAAGAGCTGACTCAGCACCGGGACTCATCCTGCTGCAAAGCCTGGTTCCTTCCCACCCATGCTGGGCTTCTGAGGGCTTTTGTGCTGATGCCGCGTGTTTCCGGAGCAATTTAAATGGTTACCACCATTTCCCTCCCCCCACCCCTCATTTTCATGCCTGTAAAATTTATGTGCAAAGTCAACAAGCGCTGCCTTGGTTTCCCAGGCCTCTATTTGGGGCCAATGCATTCTGTGGATGGCTGTCAACATCCTTCCCATTTATTTTCCTGGCCTTTCAGCCTGAAGATGCATCTCCTAAAGGCAACAATTTCCAGGAGATGCTTAATCCGAGACAGGAGCCAAGCAGCTTCCCTGTGGCTGCCACAAATGCTCATCACGTGCAAGGGGGGGAAACAACATTGTGTTTCCTAGAGCAAGCGAGCAGCTTGCCCTGGGAATGCAGTGCCCAGGTGAGCTCGCTGATGCATAGCACTGGGCAGGATGTAGCAGCAGATCCAGGGAACTCTGTGGTCATGCTCACTGCCTCAGTTTCCCCATCTGCAGGAGGGATGGATGAAGTTGCCGGCCTGGTTGGATATGTATTCTCCTAGGACACTGGGTTTGCTGCTCTTCAGAGGTCCCTGGTGGGTCTCAATGTCCTGGTACTTGTCCACCAGGCTAGGAGAGGATCTGCGCTCCCGCAGGTCACAGCTATGGTGGCATCAGCTCCATTGATTTATTTATGTGTTTTTTTTTCAAGTGCTGCCAAGGTGAAACCAATCCAGGGGCCAAAGGCTGATAAAGTTGGAGTGCAAGTCAATACGCGGGATGTCTTTCCACTGTGCAMCGATCCTGTGCAGGAACGGGGCGGGGAGAAGAGGGGACAGGCGGGCCRGGAGGTGACAAGGGCACCTGAAGGGTGCGAATATGGCTTGGGGCCAGCTCTGGGGCAGAGAGGGGTGGTGTTTCAGGCCCCGGGTGCCCTAGGGCACGCGGGTCTCCACAACGTGCACTGCGGGATGTGGCCGCCGTGGGCAGCTTTCCCTAGCCCCCGGGCTGAGTGGACTCTCTGAAGTCTAGTGAGCGCTGGGAGCCGGTGCTGCCGCTGCCCGCGCTCCGCTGACATTCACAGGGAGYGTCCTTGAGCGCAGCGAGCGCCAGAAGCACCAGGTTCGCTTTAAGGGGCAGGACTCCGGCAGTGCTGAGGAGATGAGTGGCTTTTCCCTCTCCTTTCCACCTTACCTTCYCTCCAGACCGGGATGGAGCCAGGTGCTGGGTTGGAAGGCTGAGCCAGGGGAGAAGGAGGAGGGAGGAAGGGGAGGGAGAGGGGGAGGATCTGCTAATTACACACAACAGCTCTGGGGGCTGCTCAAGTCCAGAATGAAGCGCGGAGCAGCAGAAGCAAGCGCTGCAGCGGCAGCGACGGAGCCCAGGCGTCCTGCCGGGCAGGACACAGGGCGCTACCTCCTCGCCTCTCTGCGCCGGCAGCTCCAGCACGGCTGTGGCCAGCACCCTGACTAGGACTGCACTCGGGGCTGGTGGTCCCGGGACGCCACGTGCCAGTGCCCAGGCTCCCCGTGTCTCTCCGCCACCCCAATGGCCACCGGCTCCAGCGACTCCAAGCCCTCTTGCCAGCCCAGGATGGAGAACTTCCGCAAGGTAAGCACGTCTGAAGAGCAGAGCCCCTTGCCCTTCGCAGAGCTGCCGCCTGGCATTGTGGAAATGAAGGTGAAGGAGGGCAGCAAGATCCGCAACCTTATGGGCTTTGCCATGGCCCACATGGAGCGCAAGGGCAGCCGGCAGATCGTGTTCAGCGGCTGTGGCCGCGCTGTCACCAAGACCATCACATGCGTGGAGATCATGAAGCGCAAACTGGGCGGCCTGCACCAAGTCACCAAGGTGCGCTACCAGACACTGCGTGAGGTGTGGGAGAGCACGGAGCCGGTGCCTGGCGGCACACCGCACCATCTCACCGTGCACAAGAATGTGCCCTCCATCTGCATCCTCCTCTCCCGTGACCCTCTGGATCCCAGCCAGAYGGGCTACCAGCCTCCGGAGCCATCCAGGAGCCCGGCAGTGGGAGGAGAAGCGTCGGGATCCCCTGCCAAGGGGCTGAAGAGAGCTGTGAATGCCCCGCTCGAGCGGGCCAGCAAGAAGGTGCAGGGTCCCGATGGCCCTGCTGGGGACCTCCCGCTGTCCCCTCGGCCCTGACTGCCCCATGAGGAGTGACCAGATGGGGCGCACGGGCAGGAGAAGGAATATGGGAGAGCTCCGGGTTTCAGCTGCCTCCGAGCCATGAGGCTGTCCCTGATGTAGGGGCCACCTGCCCTGAGAAGGTACAAAGTGGAGGTCCCCAACTGGGGGGCGAATGTGGTGTGGAGGTGGCAGTAAAGGGTTAATTATGGTGGCTCTGGGGGGAGGGCGATGCATCTGAGCAAAGGGGACTCTGCGGTGGCATGGATGCCTCTCCCTTTCCCCTTGGAATGGGGTGCTGGGATGCAGGAAAATCTCCCATTTCCGAACATTTCTTCCCCCTGCCTTGAGCAGAGCTCTCTCCCTGGCACCTCGGGTGCTTCCTACTCTGGTGGAGCTTGGGGGTGGCCCCATAGCCCCAGTGCTCCAGCTGCAGGGGGGAGCAATGGGGCTGGGGGGGCATTTGAGGCTGGCCTGGTGGCTAACCACAAGGGTGATGAGTTTCTTGAGCCCCAATGCCAAGCTCCGTAGCATCCGAGGGCTCCAGGAACGTGGAGATCAGGGCASGGCTCTTGCTAAAGTTGAAAGCAGAATCCACGCCAGCGGATGGGTCTCAGGGGGCTTTCCACGGCTTTAGTGCTCCTATCCAYGGGACAGCTCACGCTCTGGGATGGACAAGGGCCCCATCCCTCATCCCAAGGTAGCAGCGAGAGCAGCCTTTGCGTTTTGGGAAATGAGGCCAGGGAGGAGCATCTGCCACTGCTCTGGCAGGGTCTACCTGTGTGGATGCCACCGATGCGCACCGAGACACCCCAACAAGAGCCGGCTCTGCTTGGAGCCCCCCCCGAGCAGCAATTTCCTTAGCAGAACTGYGCGGATTGCACCTGGCGAGGAGCTGAGGGTTTGTTAATGCCAGGCTCAGCGCTTGGAATCACCTCCAATAAAGCACGCGAACCWGCAGTGGGATTGTCCTTTCCTCTCGCTGCTCACCACCCGCACTGGCCCACAGGGCATCCGTGGAGCTGAGCCATGGCTCCTTCTCCTCTGCTCCATTTCTTTTCTTCTGTAATTGGCTTTATTCTGCACTCTGCTCCAAAACAGCACAGGCTGCTCAACGCTGCCTGGGTACAGCCACAGCCCGGAGCCTTCCCAAATCCACTGGCCTCTGACTGCAGAGAACTGCTTTGGAAGCCGGGCACGAGCGAGCACCTGGCCCCATGCCCAYCTCCCTGTCATCATCGCCTCTGTCCCACTCTTGGCATTGGGAGTCTCTCCCTCCCCCATCTCTTTTGTCTCCCAAGGGTTAGCTACATACCCAGGAGAGGAAGGGAGTGAGGAGGAGGTGGTGGAGGAAGTAGGGAGACATTTTGTTTTGCCATGACCTTGTTATCTCCCCATTTGACAGCTGCTCCTGTGAGCCCGGGGGCTTATGCTTATCTGCCCTACCACAGCTTGAGTCATTTAATTTATCTGCCGCTGTGCAATTGAATATTAATTCAAGACTGTTCTTTTTTTCTTTATTATTATTATTTGTTTTTCCAAGCAGCGACAAAGAGGGGGTTGGCCCGTTTGTTCCTTCTGGTGTTTAAGTCTCTTCGTTTCAATGCAGAAAAAAAAAAAAAAAAAGAAGTTTTTGGTGAGAAATTAGGCTGAGAAAAACCCCAGCGATGTTCAGCATATGGGCTCTTTCAAAGGACTCATGGTTTCTGTGGGTTGGAGTGGTGTGACTGGCATGCGGATATTTTACCCCTTGGGAGGCGACTGTTCCCATCCCTCTAAGGAAAGGTGCTGGGAAAGCTCTGCAGCTCTTCCTTCGTGTTTGCTTCCTCACAGCAGCGCTGATTTTGTCTCTAAATGGATCCTAAACAAAATATGAATAAATAAAACTCTATAAAAACRGACCCAAAACCATCCCTGCAAATTCGCGTGGTAGCCCCTGAATTAGAGGTTTCTTGGCTGCTGGCAAATACTGCAACGTGCCAGCCTGCTCCCCATGTAACAACCCCAAATCCTTGCTCTTCCTCCTCAAAGCCTCCTATGGTGCTGTCATCCTCCTCTCCAGTTATTTCACCAATGCTCTGCTTAACTAAGGGGCAGAGCGAGTAGAGCTGATGGATGGGTTTAATTTGTGCTGTCTGGTGCTGCTCTGACACCTCYGCAGGAGATGATAGATGCTTTTCCAGAGGATGAGCAGAGCCTGACAAGAAGAGCTAGGCATGTCCAAGGAGATAAAATAAGTGAAATTCACCCCAGGAAAGGTGCAGGTGGGGAGGGAAGACACAACTAACTTACTTTCATCTCGGTATTTAAATATCCTGACTTTATCTGTCCATTCCTCCCTGCATCCACCCCACACTCACCTCTGCCCTTATGTTTCTCACTTATTATGTGGAGATGAGGTTTGTGGCCTGTACTCACCTCGGCACCTGGCTGAGATCCTCTCAACGCATGACACTAGTGCTTTGCACCATTTCTGGTGCTGAGCRGGTCAAAAGGATGCCTCACTTCCCCGTAAGCAGTTTGACAGCGCCAAGAGGCTTCCGTGCAGCTGAMGACTGTCCCCCCACTGCCCTCTCACTGCTGCAAGCAAGAAGGGCAATACCGAGAAAGGAAAAAGAATCAGTCATTCCTCATTATATTGCTAATGCTCAAAATTATTTTTAATTGACTTTACACGCAGGCAATTTCCAATCTGCAAGGCAACAGATGCTGGGAATTTCAAACTCCATACCAAGGGTTTTCCGCGTGAGGATAAAAGAAATCTCGCTGGCAAGAACTGAATGTCCAAAAGGAGACAGAGGAAAGCTAAAAYTTTATTTGAATGGAGAGTCCACTGGGCATATCCCTGTGGGGTCTCTGGAGCTGCCAGGGGACGCAGCCCCCATTTATCCCGATTTCCCGGCCGCGCTGTGGTAGCCCTCTCCTTTTCCCCACTGGCCAAGGGACTCGGGAGTCACAACCTGCCCGGTGCCTACACCCAGCTCGGTGCCTCCCTCCACGTGTTCTCACCCACGGGCACCACCTGCSTGTGTGTTCCTTCGTCCCGCTCCCCAGCCAAGAAATGGAGCTATTTCCACTTTCCTTTGTAAAGATACAGACTTGTGGTGTGTGTGTGTTCTGCTCAAGCCCAAACTTCCTGTGTTTTCCACACACGTGTGAGAAGTTAGAAAACAAGGCTGCAGGTGAACACGCGGAGCGCTTCACACAGCTCGACAGCACGAACTCCACAGGATGCTGAGGGGCCACCACAAGTGAGGCCMACGCAGCCACGGCACGTGCAGGACGAGCCAGACGCAGAGGCTGGCGGCGCTAGGGCCACAGAGCCCCACAACCTCCAGAAAGGTGATGTCGCCAAGGCACAAGAGCCAACAGKGGCTTTCAAAGCTCGAGCGCCCATGGCTCAGCGCCGCCGCCGGCACGACACAAAATGGCCGCCGCCCTCGCTGCGCCCAGCCCCGCCCCTTGCGGCTCTTCCCGCCCGCGCAGCGCGTCACGCGGGCGGGCGCGGTTTGTCCCCGCGGCGCCGCCGTAGCCGCCGCCTCCCTCAGCCGCCGCGGCGCGTGGCGGCCTCAGAGCGCGGCCGGAGCGGGC